GGGGGGGTGGGGTCATTTGTTTAAATTGAGAGAGCAACTCGGCGGGAGATTGAGCCTCTAGCAGTCTATTTAATCTTATTTCAAAAGTAAATGCAATTCTGCTTCTTTTTTGCCTCTAGGTGTAACATCCTTTTTCCATTATTATTATTATTATTCATGATGCAATATCATCTCCTTGGTATGCATATTTTGTGTACATTTAATTTAACTATCACAGCATTTTTTTGTGTGCAAATAAAACGCCAAATTTGTATTTGTTTCTAAGATTGGAACTGCAATCTTTCAAGTAACCATTTCTCGGTTGGACGTGGACCGTGCTGCTATTAACCGTGTTTTGGTAAGAATCATATATTCCAGAACCTAACGCAAAAGCAGAACTGTTGTTGGTAGCTGTTGGTTCTACTCGTGTCACAGTTCACTTAACTTCATTGTAACAATCTTGTGGTCGACTCACTATTTTCCAGCCACGAACTGTATTGGCAAATATCAATTGGGGCATAGTTGGCTTTTTTTGCTAGCCATTTAAGACACTGTGAGATCGAATCGTACTTCTATTACATCGATTGCACCTACTTAGCTGGACATTCAAAACGAAGGTGAGGACTAGAGAGGGTCAATTGTAGTCGAGTCGCCTTGTCTTCAAGTAATTAGCTTCACTTCTATTCTAATTGGTGCTCCTTTGGTAATCCTCATTTCGGCCTCTTCCCTCCATTTTACTTATTTCCTCATAATGCACCTCTCTTCTCCTTGGCTTTAACTTTTACGAATCGATATAGCTTCACATTTCTTTTGTCCACCATTGGAGATGCTCAGTGCCGACAATCAGCTGATTCGAAATTCAGTCACCTTACCCTTGCCTTCAATCTCCTGGTATTTGTATGGAAGGTTCCCTCTTTGCAACCACTGCATTTTTTTCTTCTAATTTTCATGCAGTGATCATCCACGTGATGTACGTGCAGTCGTGTCTTTAGACAATCTGTGGGAAAAAGAGCGGGAAAAATTGTTTTTTTTTTACCCACTAGTAATAACTACTAACCCCAAAATTAGTCTAGTCTGATAATTTTGTCGTCTTGTTAAACGGAGCTTAGTATCATTGGTGCCTACTTCCTACCCTCCCAAATTATAATTCATGTCATCTTGTACCTCCTCCTACAAAAAAAATAGGATGATTCTTCAAAATCCTCCTCTGCAATGGCATTGGACATCGCCTCTGAGTCAGATGACCCACGACCTGTGATTGACGATCTCGCCACCTACAACCGCGTATTCAAACCCAAACGAGCTATTCGACGCAGTCCACCTCGTGTCACAGCATCGACTACTACTACCACTCGAGCAGTAGGTCAGCAACAAGTTCCTGCCACGCAGTCGGTGTCTTCCCTCCAACCTCCTCAGAAGCTCTTTCCTGAAGAAGACGAAGATGCGGAGGAGGAGGAGGAAGATGACGCTCCATTCTCTCCACCACCACCCCCTCCTGCTGCTGCTGCAAATGGTGAGCTCTTCAATATCTCCATCTTTTATGATCATCTAAGATTTCTCTTCGTATCTATTTATTAATAATTAAAATTATCAGTTGTTGTTTTAGTTGCGTGTTTTGGCCACATTTAAAATTCTCCTGAGTGGGGTGGGGAGGGAGGGAGGGGGGTGAGAAAGCCAATGGGTTTATTGGCTTCAGAAGTGGAACCATATAATAAGCGATTGTAATCTTCCATTGCAAATAAGACGCTTTATTTGGTGGTAGGTTTTTAGCTAATTCATTGTCAAACAACTTCTTTAACGCCTTTGGGGGCTCGTACGTGAATATCCTTGCTTTGAGTCCTCTCGAGAATCTGCTGTAATGTCGACTTCTTGGGTCTGAATGTGAACGCCCCTTTGAATAAGTAGAAAGAAGATTAAGGTGGTCGGATGAAAGACCTGTTCTAATATCCTGATGTCACAATGATTCCATTTCTCATTTTTTTTTCCTTTTCGTGTTTGGCCTTTCTGATTTGAATTGTTCTTTCCTAGGGAGGAAATTGTGGTATCTCTTTGCCTTCGTATATATATATATATATATATATATATATATATATA